CTCACACGTAAATCCATCTGGTCCTGGACTTTTATCATTTTTCATGTTTTTCAAAAAATATAAAACTTCATCTTTAGTTATTGGTCCCTCTAAACTTGCTGATTCCCTCTCACTTAGTGTTGGTATATCATAATCTTTTAGTCTATTGTGAATGCTATCATCTGTTTTTACATTTTCTCTTTTTTTTGTATAAATTTTCATAAAATATCTTTGTTTCATTTAAAATGTCCTCTTGATTGGATATCGTACACCCATCTTCTTTAATAATTTTAGGAATTTGTTTGCTGATATAATTTCTAGACTCTAAACTTGCAAAATATTTTGTCGCTTTTTCCCCTTCCTCAATCCATTTAACTCGAGATCTAATACACTGGCCTTTCATTTTATTTATTCTAATTATTTTAATTTCTTTTTGTTTGTTTGATAGATCATCTACAGTATTTTCTGCCATGTTCTGTTCCAGGTCTAATATCTCTTTTTCTAACTGAGCTTCACGCTCTTTTATTTTCTTTTTCTTGAAAGAAGAATATGATATTGTTTTCCCCCTTATTTCCATTAGCAGAGTATCCAGAAATAATTTATCACATATTGTAAATTGTAAATTTTCATCATTCACAGTACCTAAGTTTTCCATGTTATAAACTGGACATGCATACTGGCTTTTGACCTCAGTTATCTTTTGCTTAATTAATTCCACATAGTCTTTATCTGTTAACAGAGAATTGTTTAATTTCCAGAAACCTTTTCCTTTTGTGAGCTCATTTAGTTTGAAAAATAATTTGTGATGATTTTTCGATGATGTATATGTAGACTTTGCCGCCTTGTTACCACACGTCAAGCGACCTGACGAAGTACATGATATTTCGTCAGGTGTCAAACTTCTAACAAACTGCCTTTCAACTCCGATAAAGACACTGTTCAATGTCCTTCAATGGAACAATGCGTTTGATATTTACATGTCCCTATACATTACAAAATACCCATCGCTCGCTTTAGACCTGATAAAGTATGGAAACAACATCAGAACATTGGCATTAGACTATGGTTTCCAGGAGGCAAGGTTTTATGACAAAGAGTTTAGAAAACTTCGTAAAGTCCACAAACTCGAGTGGTCAGTTATGCATGATGAGTTGTGGCGGGTGGCAACAAGCCAGAACAAATCTGGCCTTTACAACCTCTTCTCTAATTCAAAGCGTGGCAAAAACCCCTTTCATGGCAGGATCCAGCAGAGAACAGAAAACCCTAAAGGTTTCTGCTGGATATTCTGCGCTACAGGGCAGTGTGGTTTCAAAGAGTGTAAACTCAAACACGTGTGTACACTGTGGCAAAAAGCATGCATCAGACACATGTACATCTGCAAAGAAATCCCAAATTTCCCCAAAATCTCAAAACACCAGTGAAGTGTGATAGGCTAGCGTATCATCTTAATGGCTACAATAAATTTGACATATATTTTTTACTCTCGGGTTTTTCCGTTGATTTTCGTATTAGTGCTGGACCTTCCATACTGTCAGTTTTGAAATGTAGAAATCATAAAAGTGCTATTGAGAACCCCGAAATTGTCTGGGAAAAAATAAATAAGGAAATAAAATTAGGTCGATATAGAGGTCCTTATGATCAACCCCTCTTTCCAAATTATTTTTGTTCATCTTTAGGTTTGGTTCTTAAAAAAGAAGTAGGAAAATATCGTGTCATTCATGATTTGTCCTTTCCTAAAGGAGCGTCTATTAATGATTCAATTCCACGAGAGTTCTGTTCTGTCTCTTACGAAAACATAGGGACTGTTATCGGTTTAGTTCAATCACATGGGTTTAATTCGCTTATGGCAAAAGCAGATATTGAGGACGCTTTTCGTTTGCTTCCTAACCACCCTGATGATTATCATTTACTTGGCTTTGTATGGGAAGGTAAATATTACTATGACACATGTTTACCTATGGGTTGCTCATCTTCATGTCAGCTTTTTGAGAAATTCTCATCAGCACTCCATTGGGTTTTATCACAGAAATTTAGGGTGGTAGGCATATCACATCTTCTGGATGACTTCTTCTTCGTCGGTAAACAAAATACTAGTGTTTGTGCACACTCGCTAGATCAATTTTTAGAATTATGTAATGATATTGGTGTACCAATTAAGAATGAAAAAACTCAGTTACCAACGAAAATAATTACAATTTATGGAATAGAAATTGATTCCATGTTAATGGTCGCACGTTTACAAGACGAAAAAAATTGGTAAAATATCTTGTAATTTTGCATACTTTTAAGAAAAATCGCAGCATTTCTTTATAAGAGCTCCAGTCATTAATTGGGTTATTAAACTTTGCTTATAGTGTTGTTATTCCAGGCAGGCTTTCCTACGTAGACTGATCGACATTACAACCGGACATTCTTGTCCGACATACCGCATTACACTTAATGCTGAAGCTAGGTCATTGCATGCCTGGTCTACTTTTATTGATAATTTTAACGGAAAATCCTGTTTTTTATTTGATAAATGAGTTTCATCATATTATATTCTGATGCTGCAGGCGTGCATGGAGGTTATGCAGCTGTTTTTGGCTGTAAATGGTTCACTGGCGAGTGGTCAAATGACATGGAGTCTTGGCATATTACTGCCAAAGAACTGTTTCCTATAGTGTTAGCTTTAGAGTTGTGGGGTCATTACTTAAAAAAACCATAGAATATTATTTTTTACGGATAATGCCGCTGTTGTCGATATAATCAATAAAACTTCATCAAAGAACAAAATAGTCATGAAATTGGTTTAGTTTTAGCCGCATTGAAATATAACATCTGGCGTACTTGTTTCTCAGCCGGCGGTGAGCCCGGCGAAGCGGTTGCATTACTTTTTTCTGAGCAGAGGTTGCGCGCGCAGTTCCGGCGTACGCCGCATTCAGCCGCCTCTTTCACACCGGCTCCAATCGGCTGCTGAAAATAAAAGATGGCGTCGTATGAACAGTACGTATAAGTTGCAGGATATTTTCCTAAGTTTTTGGATTGTGTTGTGACAAGCAAACAATTTATTTATAATCAAAGAAACATGAAATGTCTTACAGACATTTTTACGAGAAAAAAAAATTAATTCATCTACGATGCAATTTTTAGAGATGTAAAACGATGCAGCAGAATTGAAAATTATATATTTGATGCTCTGTCTCTAAATAATTTGAAAGCCAAAGTGGATCTATAACTGAAATAAAATAAAAATAAATCTTTGGGGGGGGGGGGAGAAAAGATCAACATAATTAATCAGAATCATTTCTTTCTCAGAAAATATTTATTCTGTAAACAGAGCTATAGTCATGACTATAACACAAAGTATGTAATATAATCTGTAATAATTATCTTTTTTGTAGGTACAAGGATTTCGAAGTAACTTTACAAAATGGAAAAGTAGTCACGGTCCAGGTGTCTCCTGAGCTTTTGGAGCACTATAATTCCACAGGTTTGGTTCAGTCAAATATTTAATGATTTTTTGTTTAAAAACAAGACTGCCTCCTTATTTAAAAGTAAAAACAGCTTTTGAACTTCAAAATATTTTTATATTATGGTCATTTATTTAAATTTTATGAATGTTTAGATCCTGATGCTAAAACTCTAGCACAAACACTTATTGCCCAGGCTGCTCTGGAAAAGTCACAAATTGAAGTCCATGGTTCACCAGAAATGGGTGATAAGCTTCCAGGTATGATGGTTATGATGATGAACTTGTGCATTTTCATAAACATAATTTTAACTTCAATCATAAAATTTAACCTTGTTATTTTATATATATAAATCATAATTTGAATTTTTGTACAAATGCATTTTTTATTTCACTTATCTGATTTTAATGGTTTTATAGACATTACATCAATAGACACTGCTGGGCCTAGTGCATCTGGCACCCCCTCACCTTCACCCATGCCATCTGGATGGTCAGAAAAAGCGGAAAATTGTTTACTGGATTTTTTTAGAGAGGTCAGCAAGCAACCAGTCAAAAATAAATGGCTCAAAATTGCAGGAAAAATGAAAGACATTGGATTTGATTATTCTTCTGAGCAGTGCCGTCTTAAAATCAAATCACTGAAAGAAAGACATGCCAGACTTTCGAAAAAGAGGTGTACATCAGGGGAGGGTGGAGTAGAGGACGTCTTGGAAGATAAGATGGCAGAGACGTTCTCTACTCCAGACTGCAAGCCCCTACATATCTCTGAATCTGGTAGGTAAAACTATAAAAACCTTTTTATAAAAATCTCTCATTTTTTATTTTAAAAATAGATTTGGTCTATGCTGTATCATTAGTTTTTTTCTTCAACAAATCCTATCTATTTCCAATAACTTGAATGATTTTTTTTCATGAAGGCAAAGGCAATTCAGATGCCCAGAGTTCCAGTGACACAAGTGATGAGAAGCTGCAACCCGTTGCAAAGAAAGTGAAAAAATGTGGTAAGAAATTGTATTTGTAACTGGTTTTGAAAAAAATAATTAGGTTGACAAGTTGCATATACAAAAGCATAAAAGACTACAATTATTTTCAAAATTCTGGATAGATAAAAGTCATATATTCCCTGAGACGACCAGTGCATCCAAGTGGCTTGGGGGGGGGGGGGGGGTTCATCACTGCATAGCTGAATGTAACTGCAGAGAAGGACTGCCATATCTTCTGTTGAAACGTCAGATTGGTTCTTTCTTAAAAAATCAATGGTCTTTCACTAAAGTTTCATACTTGATCATTTTCCCCGAAACTACTCCTAGACACCTTGTAGTGGTTAAAGAGAAACTCACCGAGTTCAAATTTTATCCAGGTTGCAAAAATGGATGTTAGATTAATGGTATATTTTTCATTTCCAAAGTGTATAACATTTCATTGAGTAAATGTAATGAATTACATAATTGATAATTACAATAATTATTTTTTAGAACAAAGGCCAACTGTGATGGATATACTGGAGAGAGCAGAGAAAGAATCGGAAAAGCGTCACAAAGAAAAAAATGGAAATCATGAAGGGATGTCAAAAATGGTGAAAAAGGAATGAAGCTAGGACAATTACTCTGTAATGACAATTTTATTCTTATCTCTTCGAAGTTGGAAAGCAGCATTATTGTTAGTCATTGTTATTTCCCATGTGCCAAATAGCAATTATTTTTCTTCTTTTTTTTCCAAGTGACTGTGGGCAGTCTGTTTCATTTGGAGCTTATGATGTTTTTTAAGAGCCCTTGTTTTTTAATGTTATTTTTTAAATTAAAATAAAACTGTTCAACATAGGTATTTATTGTGTTTTATACATTATTCAGTATAATCAAGTTAACCTTTCAGAAAAATAGTTCAATTAGAGAGTCTGTTTGTAATCATTATTCTTTTTAATGGTCCTTGTGCATCTTGTTCTTCCAACGGCATTGGATTTACATCCTGATTTTTATCTCGGTCAAGGAATTCTTCCACTTCCTCTCCACTGCAAATGCAGATATTGTGAAGGATGCATGTAGCCTGAATAACTTCACAAGTATCCTTAATTTTTCTATTATGAATGTATTTCAATCTTCGGAAGCGACCTTTAAGCAGTCCAAATGCCCGTTCAATAATTTGTCTTTAGGATGAGAGACATTTGTTAAAGTATGTCTGCTGTCTAGTAAGATGTCCTGTATCTCTGTAAGGGGTTAAAAGCCATACTCTTAAAGGGTAAGCTGCATCTCCAAGCAGGTGAAACCGGCCATATTCACATTTTTGGTAACCTGACTCCCACACATGGGAATTTTTCAATACTTTGGCATCATGGACTCGGCCAGGCCAACCGATATTGGTATGAATAAACTGCATATCATCTTTGCATTTGCCTTGAAGTATAATAGAGTGAAATCTTTTCCTGTTATAATATGACTGGGGGTTTTCTGAGGGGGGTTCAATCTGGATATGAGATCCGTCAATGGCTCCAATAATTCCAGGAAACTCATGAACACCCATGTCGTTGAAGTTGGTAGCAATCATATCCATTTCTGTTACACTTGGCCATTTTATGAATTTACTCAAGAGGTTGTTGATTATACATTTAATCACCAGATTTTTATGCTTTAGAAAAGTGTATTCTGTCAAACCGAATCTGTCACTAATTTCCATAGTATTTTCTTGGGATGCTAAGTACCGTAATGTCATCAAAATTTTCTTCTCCGTCTGGTTTTCCTCTCTGCCTCCCCTGAACTCCCTTTTTCTAAGCTCTCGACATTGTCCAAGGTGCTGGTATAAAATCTCAGCGGTACCTCTAGAAACTCTAAAAAATCTTCTAAATGTATCTGGGAGAAACAACGGAACAGTTGTTTCAAAGAAGTGTTGAGTTTTCATTCTTGTCCTTCGTGCCCTGCAGAGATAAAGAACGAAAATCACGATTCCAATCCATAAACAGATAAATAGTGATAACTCAAAGGTGTTGGAAGCAAATTAATCAAAATTGGGCGGCGAATTGACATGGGGGGGCGAATTGACGGGGGGGGGGGGCTAAACCAACGTAAAGAAAAAGTCCCCCCCCCGTTCAGACTCCTATTTAAATCACATAACACGAACAATTGACTTTCTGACTATATTTTTAGTAAGTACTCAAAAACATTGGAAAATGCATGCGAACCAGGGAATATTTTTAATTAAGAATGCCTCACCTGTGATCAAGCATTAAGGCCTTTGTAGGCAAAGTAAAATCATCGTCATCGTCATCGTCAAGCTGATCCAACAGGAAAGGAATTAAACATAAAATTATTTCGTTGTTGTCAGCCATGTTTATTATTTCGCCGGTTTCAGCCGAATCACTTTTTTCTTCAACAGCTTCCGGCGTAAGCCGTTTCGAAAAAACGGCTGAGAAACAAGTACGCCCATCTTCTTCCGAGCTAAACATATCAAGGGGAAACATAACATAATTTGTGATCTCCTTTCTCGCTTTCTTTTTCAGAAAGCTCACAAATTGGCACCATGGTTGGCAACTTGTCCAACCAATATCCCAGATCACTTCTTGATAGTTTAGTTACATCCCTGTTAAAGGCATCACTGTCATCCGCCACATTTACATCGTATAACAGATTTATTCAAAATTATGTGCAGTTTTGCAACATTTATTTCCAAGAGTGTCAGGCATTTCCATCTTCCCATGAGATGTTGACTCAATATATAACCTATTTGTTTTTGAAGGGTTATAGCCCATCCACAATAGCAACGCACATGTCTGCAATTAGTTTTGTACACAAAGCCAACAGTCTGAATGACCCTACTAACAACTTCTTAATAAAAAAGATTTTGAAAGGTGCGCACAATATAAGGGGTTCAGCGGATTGTAGACTTCCAATAACAAAAGACATATTAACAAGATTAATTTCATCAATTCCATATGTCGTGTCAAATTGTGATAATCAACTGCTTATAACTGCAATGTTTTTGTTAGCCTCTTACGCATTTTTAAGAATGGGTGAGATTACGGTCAAGTCGTCATCGGAGTTCTCAGCCGTTTTACAATTTGAAAATCTATCTTTTGAATGGGATAACGCATCAGTATTGGGAATGTCGATAATTCTTGTTCACTATAAACATAGTGACCTACACCCTAAAACTATTTTTATCCCAAGGCAGTGTAATAATCAGGCTTGCCCAGTTTATGCACTTTACAAATACGTAAAGGCATTCAATCACACTAAAGGTTCCTTGTTTCAATTTAAATGTGGAACTCCTATTTCTCGTTCTTTCTTTAACTCAGTTCTCGGATCAGCTGTTTCATTTATAGGTCTGGATAATAGATTTTACAAAGGTCATAGTTTTCGTATAGGAGCAGCCACGTCTGCCGCAGCAAGGGGAGTTCCGTTTAGTGCCATTCAGAATATGGGAAGATGGAAATCAGATACATTTCTAAAGTACATTCGTATGCATAACATTTGAAGTGCTAAGTCAATCTTTAATTTCCCTTGTATATGGGTCAGTATTGCCTGCCACCTGTGACCACAAATTGTTTACTGGGTCAGCACTGCCTGCTAGTTTTGACATTACGTACTTAATATGTTTCTGTTTTAAAGCTGGGTTAGCACTGCCTGCCAGTAATTACTTTCTTACACTAACATTATTAACTTTATGTGAGACTGGGCAAGCATTGCCTGACAGCAGCGAATTTTTAGACATTTATGTACTCTTAATTGTTTGGTATCGGTTTGTATCAGCAATTTTGAACATTTGTAGATACCCTGAACTTTGAAACCTGGGACAGCTTTGCCTGCCGTCATTAAATTACATATAATTATTGATATGTGTACCTTTTCAATAGCATCGAAGATTGCATCTAAATAATTATATTGATATCTTTCAAGGGTTGCCTCTGATTTATTTTCATTTATGCATTTGGAGCTGTAACGTTTAATTAAGAAAATGTTTTAATTTGTTAAGCAAGGTATTAGCCCTTATATTATTCTGCATATCAATATGTGTGTATAATTTTCCTTTTAGCTAGATTATTTTTTTTAAATATCTGTTTCTGACTTGTCATATCTGCCAGAGTCCTCGGGTGGGGGATCCCCTCTTTCAGAGGTGATGAGTGGCAACATATTTATCCCCACCTTTGCGAATCTTTGTCATTTATTCAATCATATAATATGATGTATTTTTGTAAATGCCTATTATATGATATTCAATAGTATGAGATATGTACTTTTTGTGAATAAATGACCTTTTCACACAATATGGGTATTGTGTTTAATTTTCGCAAATCAAGCTCGGACTATGGCTGGATATAATTCATTAATACTTGGTTGGCATTAATACATATCGTGTTTTGAAGGATTGAAAGTCAGTATATGATTTGCTTGTAAAACTCTCTAAAATGAAGGAGCACATTCAGTGAGATATTATAGAAACAGTGGGAGATTTTATAACTAATTCCTTACAAATACAAAAATATCACTATGAGATCCTTATAATGAAGTTTTACTGTAGCAGGAATACATTGACCTTTAACCTAAAAAATCAATAGAAGTGTTAAGATAGTCATGGACAACAATGATATAGCAAAACTTGTGCTGATCTTTGACCTGAAAATAAAAATTTATTAAGCTTGTTTAATTAAGCTATCCCTGAAGTTTGATGAAAATTCTCTAAACTATTAAATATAGCAGATGTCCTCGTCACTTTATCCTTTTGATTAAAATCTTAATAATGTCATTTATTTACCTTTCTGTAACTTGGGTGATTATCTTGTATTATATGTTGGATATATTAATTGGACACTATTTATTCTGAGTAAAGAAGAATCCTGGAAAATCAAATATTCCTTTGTATGAACAATTTTTTTTATGTCATGCAGTTATTTTAATCAAAATAGCCGGACAATCTGATGACTATTAAAAAAAAAGTTTTCATTATACTATTCAGAAACCATTAGTCTACCTACCAAAGCATAAATGAATGTCAACTCAACAAAGCAAGCAAGGTTCTTTTTTTTGCGAAGAGTATGCTATTTTATGCCTAATAAGTATAAAGAAAAAAATTCCTCCATTTTGACTGTATAGATGAAGAATTGTTCATATACTTCAATCAATGAAATGTCATTCTAAATGTCATTATGATAATGCTCATCATTCTTAAGATGTACAAGTCTCAATCCTAATAGATGAATTCACATTTTTATTTTACAAAAAATAATTTATATCTCTTGGCGGCCATATTTGAGGGAAACTCAAAATTCTCTGTTCATGTAATTTTCCGGTGTGTAACTTAATCATTTGACCTAGTTTATTTACTTCTCGTATTCTGATTGCCCAGGTTAGTGCTATTCATACATAGAAAGATAACAGAAAAAACACAGTGATTTTATTGCAACAAACGCTACAAGTTTGATACATTAAATGAAATATTTTTTCATTCATTTTTGACCTTTAGATTGACCCTGAATAGAGATACCATTTCCTTTTTGGCAAGTGTAAACTATATACTGCATGACTAAACATGATTTTTATATTGAATTTGTTTGTTCTCTCATTTATTTTACAGGAAATAACATGCTGAAAGTGAATTTAATCATTCTTTTAAAATGGTTAAAGTAATGTTTACAATTGTCTAAAAATGCTCAAATGCAAGTTTATTTCATACACAAATACCTTAAATATGTAGACTGATTGTACTTATAGCTCAAATGTATAGATTAACCCCTTTGTAGTGTAAACATTTTTAACCTGATTTTTTTGCCTATTCTCTCATACATTTCCTAATTTGAGTATTTCCAAATTCTTGATTACATAAGCAACAAATTTAAGACAAAACCGAAATATATGCTGAATGCCCTGAAATGAAATGGTTACATATGTTAGATGTGTAACATGTCGTGTACAACTTTAAAGTCTACAATATTTTAAGTTAACCATATTATACAATAAGACATATAACTTTTTGAAAGTTATGAGTAATTCTCCACAAAAAATGTATTTATACAAAAGATAAATGTTAGGGAACACTTTTAGAATACATTTTACATGAATCACATAAAGTAAACAACAAATCATTTCTTTGTCGTTGTTTTCCTTTGGAACATCTGTGAACAAACATTCTTTTCCGTCTTTTTTTTTTGGATACATAAAAAGCGCGCAAAAATCATTTGGAATCCTTATGTACTGTTAAACCCTGATACTCTGATATTTGCTGAACAGTATACAGAGAGAATTTTAAGAGTATCTTGTATGTGCCCTAATTAGGAATAATTACAATGTTACAAAGATGAAACTCATAATTTGATTTAATCAGAAATGAAGTCATCAGGTTTCCACACGTTTTTCTGACACATCATGTACATAAACTACTCTTCTAGTGTGTATTTGGTAAAAGAAAAATTAAAATGAACAGCACTTAGCATTCCAGATAATCAAAAATGAAACCTGTTAGAAATTGAAAGATATTTTTGTGTACCAATGCATTATATTAAAAAAGACAATCTCTTTCTTTTCCTGTGATGAAAATTTTATCCTACATATAAAATGTGGATGAACATCTTTGGATGATGCCATTTACACATTCCAAAAAGAAACTAATTCAACTAAAACTAAAAGACAATAATTGAAATTTTAAAGAAATTATAAGGATGATATCAAGACCAAAAGTCCAGGAATTGAAAAAAATTCTACAGCTATCATCTAAAGATGTATACGTTTGGATTTGTTTTTAATCTTAGAAGCAAAAGATATGCTGCAATTGAATCATTTAAACTTAAAACCTTTCTGTAATTTTTGAATGATAATCTCAAAATCTATGCAAGCATATTTTAACATACAATCTACATGGGCAGCCATCAGCTGAACTTCTGCATCTTCATCTTATTCTATGGAAGCAGATTTTATCATACAATTTACAGCAGCCATCCGCTGAACTGGTGTACCTTAGCTGAAGACTATGCAGGCAGATTTTAACATACAATTTACATGAGTAGATACAGTGCTGCTATCCTATAAGTTGACAATTCTATCCTATCCTATCGTGAATCCTGCATCCACAATCCTATCCTGTGATTTCAGTTTAATCCTAACCTATCCTATCCTGCAACTCTCAGTTTTTTAATCTTTAGGAATTAATTTGACAAAACGAAAAAAAGGGAATTACCAGAAAGTAAAATCAGATATAGTTATGTTATTCATTTAAATGTAATATTGTTGTGAGGTGTGTATTGTTTCATCATGTATATTATTAGTAACATTAAGTTTCTTGAACATTCCAGAGTGGTCAGCGTGTTCGGTCATTTTTTTTCTAGAACATTCTTGAACTTTGTACATGTCCATAAGTTTCCAGTAATATCATAGACTCACAACTTCTAGAATATTCTAGATTTATGATACTGTATAAAT